ATTAACAGACCCCTATCACAGTTAACCAAAAGAAAGAAAGAAAGAACATCTCCAAATCAACAAAATCAGAGATGAAAGGGGAAACACCACAACAGACACCAAAAAGATCCAGAACATTATAAAGGAATGCTTTAAAAACCTATGTTACTAAATTTGAAAACCTAAAAGAAATGGATGCATATCTAAAGGCATGGAACTCACCAAAACTAAACCAAGAAGAGGTTAACATCTTAAAGAGACCCATAACACAAAAAGAAATTGAAACAGTAATACAAAACCTCCCGACTGATTACTTTTTAAACATGGTACTTGCCATAGAGCTGACCAGATACAGATAATGGTATATTTTATGTTACTGCTATTAAAATTAATATTGAGAAGCCATAGATAATTAAGGATATACATCAAAATCTAGTTGCTAAAAGATGTTTACCACAGCATTATTTATTTTTATTTTTATTAATTTTTAAGCATTTATTTATTGTGTACAGGTATGGGGTACAGTCAGAGGGCAACCTGCAGGAGTCAGTTCTTGCCTTCTACTATTTGGGTCCCAGGGATCAAACTTAGGCTGTCAGGCTCGGCAGCAAGTGTCTCAGCAGTCTGCAGCATTGTTTACAACAGCAAAAAGTTAAAAAGAACCAAGCTATATTACAATGGAAGACTGACTGAATCATGGCACATCTACCCATTAATATGTCAACTGGTCATGGAAAGTCGGTCACCATATACTGCTAGGGAAGAAAAGCAGACTGATACAAAATTATCAATTTATTTTTCAAATGAATAAATAAGTGCTCAAAAGGATATACAGCAAGATGGTGATGCTGGTTTTCACTAGGTAGCAGGCTGCTTTCCATTTACCAGTGTTTTCCAAATGTCTGAAATGAGCATTTATCACTTATCCAGTAAAGGTTTCTATAAAATTAGGACAAGCCATTTTGTGAAATGGGGAGTATGTATCTATTAATGGAAACACCATGCATGTGAATGACTTGATTAATCAATGGTACTTAATTATAATTTCTACTTATGTTTAAATGAGGTATTTCTTACCAACTAGTTTTATGTTTTTTAAAGAACTGCCTAATACTTATGTTTCATATAAATGGTATGTCCATTTTCTGGATAAACTTTCTGAGACTTAATGTCAAGAGTAACCTGAGGAGAGGTTATATTGGAAAGAACATCATAGTAGGCTTTATAATATCAAATAGGCCACTGTAAGTATATAACGGTGATGGACTGCTTAGCCTAAATATTTTTTAAGAAAAATAAGTGGGTGGCCTAACAAAGTAAAAGATCAGTAACATAGCTAGATAAAGCATTAAATTTTACTCAACACTGGACTCTCATTCATGAAGAGTAACAGAGATTGTGGGATCAAGATAGGAGACTGAGGTCAGTGGCTTAACACAGCTGTCTCATTTCCTCTTCTGTCCCATACACCATGAAATAAACACACACAGACACACAGACACACAGACACACACACACACACCTTTGACACAGCATATGCTTAATGACTACTGAATGAATAGTGGACCACACCCATGCACAGCATCCTAGCCCAGTTTCCCCAAGAGAGAAGACATGTGTCTAGGGCAGCAATACAGTCTGTGTATCTGGCACAGAAAAACACATCCAAGTGGGACATAAAAAGACTGAAGTTCTAACTCTAGCTTCATGAGCACCACATTCTCACAGAAGGAGCTGAAGAACATGCTTTTGAGTACAGTCTATATCAGGAAGATATGAACAGATACTAATCAGAGAAATAAGAGAAACAAAAATTAGAAATTCTCTTAGGCTGACCATAAACTAGTGTTTCTTACAAATATCCTTTTAAGGACAGGAATGTCTACAGTTGGAAGTCAAATGCGAGGTAACATTAAATCTTAATTTTTTCAAGGATATTTTTAAAAATCTGTTAATTTGAAACACAATCCAATATATTCATTATGAGAGCCCTCGAAAATTAACAGAGGAAGAAAAAACAATCTCTACATTTTTAGTCAATAAAATTTATGTACTGAGTAGAAAGTATGACACATCCATAAATATTTAAGGACTGCTAAGGAACTCTCTGAACTAGGTTCAATGACACAGTAGCATAATATCTGGAGTAATCTGTGCTTGACTTCAGTTCAGTAAGGGTACTGAGGCAGCTTGCAAACAGGATGAGAAGTGCATCTTAGAATCAGCCAGCGGACATAAAAGGCCACACATACACACTTTCTAACTTACAAGTGTTTTCTTTGCAGCACAATTCATTGCACATCATTAAGAGCCTGTGGCATGCTGCACCGTCATGATGATGATGACAGTCTGTCCTTCCTTCTCTGCAGCACTGGGTCCTCGTGTGATGTTCTCCCTGCTACCCTCTCTCATATTTACAGCTCTTTGCCTGCCTTCTCTCAGCACCCTGGAATCTGAGACCCTATTCTTTATCTGAAGGCAGCTATTCTTTCTTCTCCCATTCATAAGGTATGCTATGCTCGCAGAAGGCCCTTGGTAATTATTCATCAAAATGAAACTCCAAAAAAGAATGTTTCTCTGAATGACCTAACTACTGTCCTGACAGAATAAAAGGTGTTCTCTGTGAGAAATGTCAAATTATGTACTCACGGGAATTCGATTTCGGGATCTAAAAGTCGCAACCCTCCTGAGGTCATCATCTGAGGTCCGATAGGGAACCACCAAAAGAGCAGGGTACGTGTCACAGAGTTCATAGCACTTATTAATAAAGGTTATCCTCCAGTGGTGATTGGGCAGGCCCTGCAGGACAAAAGGAAGTGCGAGTGAGCCATGCGTGATGCTGTCTCTCCAGGATCTGTCTTCCTTCTAACATTATGTGTGCATGCCTTTTTGACCACAGGGTGATGGTGGCCTACCTATTTACAATAAGGATGTCAAATCAATAATCCAGACAATGCAAGCACATGGACAAAACATTGGTGGTTTCCACAACTGAACAACCTCTCATAAATACAGATTCTCTGGAATTTAAGATCTTCCTTTACTTTATAGAAACATATTTTTTAGTCCTTGTACAATACAGACAAGCCCAAGTTCCTTTCCTACCCACACCCCTTCCCCCTTGAGCCCAGAGAATAGTGCCATGGGTAATGTTAACCTGTGTCTACCTGGGGCTAGAAAAGAGAGCTGGCAACATCCTCTCCCTGCACCAAACAGAGAGAATGCTGCAGTCTGCTCCCAAGTGGAAAGATGCTAGGCCCATGAGAAAAATCACCAAGGGGAGGTAAAGGAAGCCCCTCTGGGGAGGCTCATTTCGCCACCTCCAATAAGTTCTTTAAAGCAAGAAGCTGAGGGTCTGTGATCACCCTATGAGTTGTGTGAGAAGTTGTGTCATTAACATTTTAAGCAGACCACAGGGATGACAGGGAGACAGGGAAGCCATCCTCTATCTTATCATCCACCCACAAAATTGTATCCATTATGGACAAGATCCAGAGGTGGTGGAATATTCTCTCCCCATACTCACAAATGCACAAATACACACATGAAAGTGAGCTAGGTAGGTGTTTACTTTGGGGACAGACATGGTACCTTTTCTTTAGGTCTGGCCCTATGTACCACGGACCAAACAGATGTTGAGTCTGATGCTGAGTCCAATTAGAGAGTTTTAAGTCCCATCAGAAAGTTACAAGAAAAAAAGATTGAATATAATGGCAATCTGGAACAAAATACCTACAATAGTTTATATTTGCATGCAATTCTTAAAGACAGGCACTGATTTTTTTCAAGCTAGAAACTTTAAGTTTTACTGTTGCCAATAGCTAAAGCTAAGTAAAATATTTTGATATATAATTTTATAAAGGTTTCTAAAGCATGCACAATATTCTAATGGCCTTCCTTCCATCTAGGTAGTCGGTTTAAAACAGAGGTCATTAAAATGAGAGGCATATACAGCCTCTGAAAGTTCAAAAGTCTAAAGCTGATTTAGGGATTCCTCATGAACATATTTGAGATTGAACTCCTGCACTCAATTTAAGAGTATCAAATCTGCTTATGTATGTGCAAACCACTGATCAAAACTGAAAATGGAAGCTATGTTCATGGTGGTGGAAGTTTTTCACAAGTCTAGGGTTTTTGAATTATAATTTTTATTCACTTCCCTTTCATACAAAGCAACTGGGCTTGATTTAATTTTCAAAGTTCATTCCATAAAATTTCCAAATTATTTTAAGAGCTTTGTAGAAGAAATATGAAAAATTGCATTGCAAAACTCCTAGCTGTACCACAGATTTGGTTATATTAGAGGCCAAATTGTAGCTTTTGGTATATAATGTGCTTGCTTGCTTTGGACATTCTTTACAAAAATGCTTTTTTTAAACCTGAACATTATATCAAGCCTCTTGCAGCACACACAGATGGGCACCAGGTGTCCACATCAGATGTCTTTGTGTGTTGCTATCCACCTTATTTTTCTGAGTTCTCGCTGAGCTCCTGGAGCTCAGTGATTGGCTAGGTTGCTTAGCTAGTAAACCCCTGGGATCCTCTTGTTTCCACAATGCTATGCTGAGATTACAGGCGTAGGCTGCCACACTGGCTTCCTACATGAGTACTCAGGATCTGAACTCAGGTCTTCATGGTTGTGCAACAAGTACTTTACCCACTGAGCTGTATCCCCCAGCCCAAACTCCTTGCTTTTATTACAACAAATGAACACACATATAGGTGGGGTTTATGTGAGAGTGATAAAGGCAACAATATATATTCATCAAAGCTTTTTGAGGTTATGATATCAGTATAAGAAAATTCATTTGATCTGTAATTCAGAGTGAATATAATTTAACCCTAATGGCCAGAAATGGTTAAGTTCCTAAACAAATACACTAACAGCAAAGTAAGGTATAGAGGTATGACTTTTCTAGACCCTAAATATTGGATTCATTTAATAAATACGACAAACTGATGTTTCTCATTCAAGAAAGGAAGCAGAACTTAGCCAACCAGCTTTGGATGCAGCTGGAATATGGCTACAGAACAAGCTTGTAAGTTACAGAGGGATAGAATGAGCTATATTCTATACAGTGTGGATGATACCACAATCAAGGAAACACAGTAAGCAAGGGCGTTACTTGTTCTGAGAGGATGAGCAATGACATAATGTCCCTATGCATGTTTCAGAGTCAACGCATACCAGACAATGGCATCTATTCACTTACCTGCCTCCTGTATTCTTCAACTGGATTATAAACAGTCCACCCATCCACATTAAACTTCTCTTCATTTACAAATGCAAATAATGGCTAAAAAGGTAAGAAAAAAATTAAGGTTCAGTATGAAGCAATAGTCTATTAATAGTAATAGTTTCATTTTTCCCAAACTAAATTTCATGGACTTGCTAACAGTGAAATTGTAACCCAAATCAAGACTTAAAAGAAAGAAACAACTGTGAAAAATTTAGAGCAGCCTTACATCAACTTCCATGTTCAGGTAGAATCAATATCTATGGCTACGAATATCCCCTTTGTTTTTTAATGATGTTACATACACACACACACACACACACACACACACACACACACAATCAGATATCCAGACTAAACAGTATCTGCGTTTTTTAAAGTATGAATATTAAATAATATTATCAGCTGATCAGTTAAAAGTCACTAAAGACAGAAATTAAGGAATAATTATTAAGTAGTGCACCTGTCTCAAAAGAGTGCCATGACATGTTTATCTATTTAAAGAGAGACAGGACATTAGAAAACTCTTAATTAACTGTTCTCTGTGAATTCTGAATCAACGTGCTGCCCTCTGAAATCACAGGAATCTGACCTCCAAAAGAACTATTGATGAATTTCCTAGTTTCAAATACTGTCTGTCCCCTAGAGGCCATTCTAGCTCTGCGCCTGGAGATGGCCATCTAAGTGCCAACTCCACAGCCCCCACAGGTACCTCAAAGGCATGAGGTGGGGATAGAGGTGACTCTGACTCTGAGGTTAACACACCCCAAACCTAACTCTTGGCTCTACCTCAGCTGTCCTGTTCTTCCCAGTCTCCCCAGTTTATCCAGTGAGAGCCCCATCTTTGTAGTAGACTGAGCTAAGCACTGTGTAGTAAGACTTATTACTATCTGGCTACCACTCTGACCTTGACCTTCACTATCTCTCAATTGGCTTAGCACAATAACTCTGAACTACTTCCACTTCCATCTGTATACCTCTAAAGTCAGAGTAATAGTGCTAAAATGTTGGCAGATCAAGTCATCCCTTGCCAAAATCCTCCTGTGGCTTTCCATCTGGCTCAGGGCAAACAGGGGAGGTCCTTCCATGGCTTACATGGCTATCTGCCATCTGAACACTTCTCTTGAGCTCATGTCTCTACTATGGGCCCTCCTCACTCCATTCCTGCCACACCAAACACATGCTGGTCTCAGGGCCATTGCACCTGCTGTTCTGTCTGCCTGGAACCCTTGTACCTCACTGGCTTCCTCTTACTTCTGTCATATATCTCTGATCACAAGTGACCTCAATCAGTAAAGCCATCACTGACAGCTTCTAGAAAACTCACTGGATATCACCATAAGATCACATCCCACTGTCCTTTCCCAGCTTTAACCCTCCCATCACTTATCAGCATCTGACATATTACATATGTTCTTGTTTACTGTTGGATGCTTCACTATGCCCTTCCTAAAACAGTGTCTCCATGAAGACAGACATTTGCCCTGTCCAGATCCTCTACACCCACTAACTAAAACAGGGCCTGCAGGAGATACTGTGGCTGGATACTTTTCCTCTAAGCATTTCCTCCCCTACAAATTTTTTGAGGTTACTAGGTTACTATTTTAAATGTAAGTGCCCCGCCCCAGACATACTACAGGTGATTTATGGAGAAGCCTTACTTTGCCGTGACAACAGTTTTCCATATTTGAATAGCAAGGGGGTAAAAACTGATCATGAACATACTGGAGCCCTGTGTCTTCTTGAATTCTGCCAAGCTGCACCCTCATGTCTCAAGTCTGACAGTGTTAGATTCAAGTGCCATATTCCACACATGTGAATCACACATTAGCCAAGGCATTGACCACCTAATTCACCAAGGCTCCAACCTGACATTAACTCCAGAGTCAGTGGAGAGAAGAGATGACATCTGTTAACTGATCTTTACCTCAGAATTTTGGTGAAAACAGTGCTACTCTGTTTGGTGCAGTTCTCTATCCATGAACAGAAAGACTGGCACCCAACTGAGAAGACTTTCAGTGATTTATCATCACTTTGAACATCTGATACCATCTGGTCACTCACTACCTGGTACAGTTAAACACTCAATATCCCTGAACACTACACTGCTGACACAGATGCAGATGGCAGATGATTCAAGACTTAAGGGTGTGTGGTTGAAGATTTTAGAAAAAACAGAACTTGCCTTCCTGAAGTTACTGACCTGAACATGATTATAGCTGCTTTGCTTTTACTTATTTGCATCTTTTCTATGAAGCACAAGTGATTTAAGGTATCCTTTAAAAAATAAAGACATCCTATTTCTAAAACAGTTTAGATAAAGCTTTTCCTGGAGAAAAAGCAAACACAGTAATGCAATCAGTGCTCTTAAACAGGCCAGTAGCACTTTCAAGGTAAGTCTATTATTCCTCAATTGTTGATATCAGCGTTCCTTTTTGTTGCTTTAAGCACTTTCTCACATATCTTACATGAAAACTATTAATCAGTGTACATTTATAAACATGTTATCAGAAGACTAAAGCTATGTTGCCTAAATCCACATCATCTCCATTATCTCCTCAACACATTTTACTGGAGAGAACTCAAGAATAAGCATTAGTATAAGAATGAGGCAAGGTCCCCACTGGCTATGTGCCAGATGGTCTTTCTCAGGAAATCACTTCTACAATGACATTTCACATTGTGAAGTGGTCACAGGTATGTCAAACCTGCGGCCTGGGGTACACGTTTCAGGATAGCTATGAATGTGACCCAACATATTTATAGATAACAGCATGCCTCAGTGTCATCCCCAGTAGAAGGAACTAGTACCCTTTGCTCTGAAACAGGCCTATGACAACTAGATGACAGGAACAGCTCTTTGTTTACTCTCAATGCTAAGCACTTACACCTCAAATATTTGGAAAAAAAATTGGGTCACTTAACTGTGAAAATTTGTCATCACGAAATAACATAGCAACACATGTAAAAAGTATTCCATAAACTACTTGGCTAACTGAAGCAACCATTCTAGAACAGATGCTTATAGTTTTTAAAGTGAAATGTAACACAACTTACTTTCCAGACATTTTAATTTTTTCCTTAAAGATTTAGATAAAAAAGAAGAATTATACAATATAACCTCTCAAAAGCACAACATAAAGGTGATTACAAATAAGAAAACAAATTAAACAGGAAAGCAAAGTTAACAAAATTCACACACCAGTACATGATCATTAAAAAGTACAAAGTCCCCTATAAGTGGTAACTTATTACCAGCCTAACCCAAGCTCCTGTCTGAAAACTGCTCAAAACTGAAGTTAATGGGTTACTTGTCTCGAGGTTTTCAGCTGACATTTTATTTTCTCTTCCAGACAATATGCTTCTTTTTTTTTGGTCTTTTTGAGACAGGGTCTCCTGTAGCCCCAGCTGTCCTGGAACTCACTATGTAGACCAGGCTGGCCTTGAACTCACAGAGATCTGCCTCTGCCTCCTGAGTGCTGGGATTAAAGGTGGGCGCCACCACGCCCGGCGACAATATGCTTTTTAAAGCTTTGAGGTTGCTAGTACTTTCATTAGTGGATTGGCATTCTTAATATAACCATGGCTGTATCTGTTTTTGACCCTTCATCTGGGAAGTGGAAGGCCCATGGAGAGAGCCTCAGTTCTAGAGTAGTTTTCATTACAAGCACCAAGCAGAGAGTGCTATTTGCCTGCTGGGTGAGGTTGACACCCACTCTATGATTTGACAAATACCCAGTGAGGATGACACCTATTCCTGGGACTGACTAACAACTGATTCCATATCTTTGCCTATGGAAAATTCAACTTCAGCCCCAATCTAGCATAGTCAGTATAGTGAAAATGTTTTGCCAAGAACTAGTGGTCAGTTGCTGGCCAGTGTGCTTTATGTAGCTTTGGTCCTTCCCCAGCAAGGGTTCTGGCTCAGAACTGGGGTAAACTGGGCAGGCTACATTTGAAGATACCCATGTCCCACCTTACCCATACTGAACCAGAATCTCTAGAGTCTCAAGGAGATAAATTTATGTCTCTCCTATCCTGGTACTAGAAAGGCATGTAGGATACACCAGAACCCTTATGTGGCAGTTTCAATGAGAAATGTTCCCCATGGGTTCATATATTTTGAACCCTTGATCCTCTGTTGGAACCACTGTTCGGGGAGGTTATGGAACCTTTAGGAAGTGGAGCCTTGCTGGAGGAAGCATGCCAGTGGGGACTGGCTTTGAGGGTGTATAGCCTCATTGTGGTGCCCAATTAGGGACTATCCTTCTGGAACCATAAGCCCAAATAACCTCTTCCTTCTATAAGCTGCTTTGGTCATGGTATTTTATCACAGCAATCAAAAGTAACTAACATACCTTATGAATCTGTAGTTGAGCTATTTGGGTAACAGCTCTATTTAAATTTATTTTGAAATAATCATAGAATGACAAGAAGTTGAAAAGAAGTGTAAAGGGAAATTCCATGGAACCTTCAGCCAGTTTCTCTCAATGATAACATCTTACATAAGACTACAATACAGAACCAGGACACCAACATTAGAGAAACCATTGGCAAATGCCTAGCCCTGGCTTTCAAGTGAGCAGTTTACCTTTATTTTGTTCTATACTGATGTTTAGTCATTTCATAAGTTTTGATGCCTACTACTCATGCTGATACTAAAATACATGGGGACTAAGGAAAAGATCAATTTTGTATACAATTTTGCAGATTAAAATTAGCACAATGTAGCATTTGAAAAATGTTAAGGGACAAAGTTGAGAAGAAAATCTGATTTCACACTAGGGATAAAAAGAGCTCACACACAGAGAATATAACTTGTCATTTCCATTTAGCATTGTTATCTTATGGGGGAAAAACTCCCAAATAACAATAGATTCTAGTTTTCACTTAATTAGACATCATTTTTAAATGGCACCTATATATAAAGATATACTGATTTGCTTAAAACACGTAGATAAGATTTTTTAAACTATCCATTTTTAAGTTAGCATATAAAGTAATGGGTTTCATTATGGCACTTTATACATATGCCTTCCTTTTCTTCTAAATTTTTAAAA